GCTCCCCCAGGTCCCCCACCCCCCGACAAAATTTCATTCCCATGAAGATCCACTGGTTTCCAGGATGGACCTCCTCCTCCAGAGGTTGCCCCTACTCCCGAGGGCGGCAAGAACCCCAGCTCTTCACTCCCTTCAGTGCCTCCTTTAGGAAACACTGTGGTCTCCTCCGTTATTCCTCCAGACTGAGTGCCACTTCCTGTTATGTCCTCCTTAGGCTCAAAGGGTTCCTGCTTAATGTAGAAGATTTTGGGGGGCGCAGCAGGAGGGGCAGGAGGCTCAAGTGGTGCACTCTCCTCCTCTGGAAGCCTACGGGGAGTAGCAGATTTGGGCAGTGGGTGGGACCCATGAGAGTGGGGTACCCCTGATACTCTGGCAGGCTGAGGAGTCTGAGAAAGTGCTGCTGACCCCTGGTCTTCATCATCGTCTTCTTCCTCCTCCTCCTCCTCCTCAACTTGAATCTGTAACACCTCTCCCAGTTCACTCCCCTCCCCTCCAACGGGGTTCTGGGTAGAAGCAGAAGCCTGCACAGGAGCCTGGAAAGAGGAAGAGCGAATGCACCAACCTCCTGTTGATGATGCAGTGGAAAGAAGTGTGTGATAAGGGGTCGCTCCACGGGCTGGCATTCCACCACCTGAGGTTTCTAATTCTCGAAGAATCTCTGAGCACTGATCTACCACTTGCCACATCTGGAGGCCACTGGCCACAAGGAGGTGGGCAGGGAGAGCATCCAGTGGCAGGCGCAGGCGCCCTGAATAAATGAGCTGGAGCAGCCCCTCGAAGGCATCCGCTTCAATGACGCTGGGCAGGGTGAGGCGTGGGGCATCGCCCAGGAGAAGCTTGTCGTGGAAGTAAGGAGAGGCAGCAGCCAGCACTGCTTTGTGGGCCCGAAGCTCCCGGCCCTGCACCAGGAGGGACACATCACAGAACTTCCCCTCCAGCCTGTGGCGGTTCAGGGCTTCCAGAAGCATTGAGCTGTGCTGAGGGAACTCGATCTGGATGGTCCGTGGGGCGGGGTTGCAGTTCGGGGACGGGGGGACGGGAGGCAAAGGTGCCGAGGTATCCATGGCCTCCACCGGAAGCGACCCCAGGGGATCGAGTCCCGGAGGTGAGGGGCACGGGTGGACCTCACGCCGGATGAAGGCTGTGGAGGAAAGGGACTGGGGTCACAGCAGCTCGAATAAGGAGAGCGCGCTGCCTCAAACACCACCTGCCTTCCCTACCCCCACCCACCCCGACCCGCGGAAACTTTTCAGTCAGACCAGTCCCGCG